ACCTGTAGAATTTCAGATGAGATTAAATCAATAGGTGAAGTATTTTGTGGTTTTCTGTATTCCATTCTTTAATTAAACATTCAGATTTGCTGTGAAATACTTAACAGAAGAAAAAGATTATATTGTGACAAAACTGGTACTATAACATCTAAAATCAATGTTCTACACTTAGAAAATTGCTATAGAAGTAATTATGTATCAACACTTTTTTTTCAATTTTGGAAAAGCACTGATCCCTTCTTCTGCCTCCTGGCTCTCAAATAACCTCATGCTCTAATCTGGAATTATATTTGGTCACTGTTTGATAACAGACTATTTTTAGGGCTAGAGTTACCCAGTGACCATTCATTCTGAATGAGGTTTTTAGTCTAACAGGAAAAAAARAAAAMAAAAAMCAGACTCTATTACATATTCCCATCTCTTCCATAATTTGTGATTCTATCAGTCATCAACACATTCTGAGAGCAGGAGCTCAGCTCCCTGCTTGAGCCCAAGACACCTGGGGAGCTGCAGAGAGGAAAACAAACAAACTTGTTTTTGGTTAAAGGCTGCCAACTCAAATCTTCCTTACTTCTGGAAACAGAAAAAAAAAGGGCATGGTTTGGCAATTTCCCCCCCTTACAAAGGAGTCACCTCCTAAAGGCCRGCACAGATGGCCAGATCTGCTCTGCAAAAAAAAAAAAAAAAAATCTCTAGCCTGGTCCAGTAGTGAAAAGAATAAATACGAATGCAACGATTACCTATGCACACTGCTGGCATCATTCCTTACTGCTTGGAAAAGTGAGGCTCCATTGCACCTCAGAGATTTCTTTTAAAATGCCTGTATACTACTCATTAAGACCGCCTCTTAAGAATCATGCAGCCCCAGCCCCTCGGGGTTTCCTTTTTCTATTCCTCCCTCCCTCCCTCTCTCCCTCTCTCCCTCTTCCTCTTTCTCTCTCTCGAATTTCCCCACTCCCATGGGTGCAGATTTTTCTCCAGTTCTCCCAGTGAAGTGCCCTCCTACAATCCGGCCCTGGGGCCCTTCCCCACCGCCACGGAAATGCGTTCGCTCCAAACCTATTGGAGGCTCACCAATACCATTAGCACCGTCCGGGTCTTTTCCGGTCGCAGAGACAAACCCCCTCCCTGGTAGCTGGAGCGGCACCCGGCGACCAAAAGGCAGGGCTTGCGCCCTAGGGCAGGAGAGGGTGAACAACCTGCGGCTGCGGCCTGGGCTCGCCACGCGCACCGGCGTCCCTCAGTGTTGCCCACGTCCCCACCAGACTCCTCCTCCCGCGCACACAGGGGCCAGGAATTGCCGCCAACAAGGCCCAAGACCCCAGGGCGTGGCGGCTCGAGGCGCAAACCCAGCTGCGCTTTGTAGAGGGCCGAAAAAGTGGGCGGCGCCTCCGGGCCTCGCCGGCTGATTTTCCGCTTTCCCAAAAGGTTAAGTCCCGGGACCACGCCTGTCAGCCAGCCTGGGTCTCAACCGCCTCCGGGTGGACACAAGGCCCCTGCCTCACACTCACCTCCCGCGCGCAGCGCCCACTCAGCTCCGACGCGGGCCGCGCTCCAGCTCTGCGCGCACACAGAACCTCCCCGCAGCCGCACGCACGCCCGGGCGCGCGCAGACCTCGCGCTGGGGCTGCGGCCCAAGCTATCCTCCAGGCCCGCGGCATCCTTGCGCGCTCGCCTTGGCGCTCTCTCTAGATCTTGCGTTCCAAACACTGTGGTGTTATGAATGCATTCGATAGTTGTGACTGATAGAGGTTAGACAACTTAATGGCAGACTTCAGGCTAAGATTTCTGTTTAAGACTCGCTCCTCTGTATCTCTTGCCGTTTTCCAAGCTGCATAAATGCACAGCCTCCAGGAGGTCCTGGAGGGATTTTCTTGTTGAAATCCAAACACAGCTAATTAGGAAAGAAGAAACCTTGGGATGGTGGTGGTGATGGGTATTCTTTGTTCTCCGAGAGTGKAAGTGATCCTTTTTGAACTGATGGGGAATAAAAGTTGAGTCCCCATCATATTACAATGATCTGTGTGGACTGGAGTTCCAAGGAATCTCAAGAGATTCCTCAATTCCTCAAGAGTGCTCTCAAGAGATTCCTCTTGAAACCAACAGTTCAAGGAAGCTCCACCCAGTGCGTCACTACTCAAGGCTCCCTGGAGGAGTGGAACCGCTTTTTCCAGTGAGAGCTGGGTGTTGGTATGTGGATTCTGGTCGTGCCAGTCTGTGGGWGGAGTTGGTTAAATTAATAAGTAATAATAATAATAACAACAAAAATACTATTCTTAGGCCACAGGACCTCTGGAAGAGTGCCATCTGAAAACAATTCCTAATCCAGTCCTTTGGCTGGGAGACTGTGCAACAGCCACAAGAAAAGTTGAAAGAATAGTTCAGTGAACACACCCATATATATACATGTGTCCAAGACTGAACAAGTGTTTATAATTTTCTATAACTGCTTCCCCCACTCCAATACTTCAGCCTGCATTTTTCCTAAGACTAAAGACTTCTACAAAACCACAGTAAATAGTCACATTTAAGAAACAACAACTCAATAATATCACCTAATATCTAGACCATATTCAAATTTCCCCAATTGTTGAAAAGGTCTTGTATATTGGTTTTGAAGAAAGATGATATTATCAAGATTCATACATTGCATTTGTCATGATTGTCTCTTTTTATGGATAACAGCATCAACCTTTTTTGTTTTCCTGGCATTAACTTTTTGAAGTTTATCAATTTGTCTTTTTTTTTTTTTTGTCCTTTTGGTGTTAATTTTCTTTAGTGCCAGAATTTCCTGTGAGCTGAAAAGAAAGTATGATGGCTTGATTTGACCACAAGAATCCTTCATAGGTTACATAATACTCTTCATATATTTTCCCATTAGGGAAAACATAACATTAAATATTAAGCACATAATATCAGTTGTCCTGATACCAATGATCACTTGAGTAAGGAGGCATTCTCCAGATTTCTTTATTATAAAGAATTATGAAAAATGCTTATTTTTGTATCTAAAAAGTAATAGATTTTAGGTGGAGACTTTGAAACTCTTTTAGGAGAGAAGTCTTAAATTCTTGCAAGAACCAAGGTTACAGAAGACCACCCTTTCATGAGTATCCCAAGTTGTCACTCACAGGAAAGTATCTTGTGAATGGGCTAATGTGACCAGCCTTGGGCATGAAAACCAGTCTTGGAGAGCATATCTTTGATTCACTCAACTATACAAGGCAACAGGGACATCTCATGGAACAGGACATACAGAGACCCTTTAAAATTTGTTTTCTTAAAGGAAGATAAATGTGGGAGACCATCCTTGCACATGACTGAATTCCACCCCCCTAGGTGTGAGGTGCTCAGTCACTTTTAATGTGGCAGAGCTTTCCCCACCCTTCTTGGTTGGAGAGCTTGTCCGTGTGGAGGCATGTCTCACCACTGCCCCAAGGATCCAATGATGGCACCTGACCTTGCAACACTGTCCCCCCTTGACCTTGCAACACTGCTCCCCCTTGACCTTCATTGGATGGGATTTTCCCCAGAATTCTTTGTTCACCAATAAAAGCCCTCTCCTGTGCTCCCCACTCTCTCACTGGCCTCATCAGTAAAACCTCGCTGCCCCCCTGGGGAACTTGAGGGTGAGTGTTCCAGGAGCCATTTAAGGTAAAATGGTGTCTGTGTCTTTAATTTAAACTCCCTGAGGATTTTCCTGTGTAACTGAACCGTTCCTGTCTGCACTGGCCACGGACTAAAGATAAACAAATAGACAAGATCATTTTTAAGGTTCATATGTACCGCGAAGGTGCTAGGATAGAGGGATATGATGGAGATAGTGCTACAAGCCAAGCACAGTGTTGATGTCACTGGAAAACCATCAACATTGTTAAGGAAAAAAAAAAATCACTTGTCAGTTTCAATCAGTTGTTCCTTCTWCTTCACAGGGTGGCTGTGAGCTTTTAATGCAAGGTGTTATGACATCAATCCACTCACCTAGGCAGACACAGCAGTAATCCTCTGGATTTTTCTGGCACCTACAACTTCAAATCACCTAGGACTAGATCCAGTATAATTGAGTTGAATACTAGCTTTAACTTAAAGAGCAGTAAGCTCTGTTCTCTATTGACTATGGATCACTTTAGAGTTCCTGAGGAGAACTATACTAAAGCAGTGATGTTTTCTACAAGGTCTTATGATGTATATTTTAATAAGATTTGATAAAATCTGGGAAGACATGGTCTAATCTACATCCATTTTAATTACAGAAACAAATCAAGAATATGTAATTTAGCATGTAATCTTTGCCTTTGGTCATCTAGTCTCTGAAATATCATAAATATCTATAGGTGGAAGCTTATCCACTTAAGCTCCTAAGCTCTGCTAGGCAGTAGCTCTGTCAAGTTTTTTTCTATATAACAATGATTATCCTACCTCCTACAAGAGATTTCACAAAGGACATCATCTATTCCACAGACAAACGTAGTGTTGTAAACAGCCTGTATCCCCCTTCTCAAAAGAGGGCAGTTTCCAGTAAGTCCAAATCAGAGGATCATATTGCTGTTTTCATTTGCATCAGCAAATTAGCTTCTGCTCTGATCCCTGCCAGTTGATCTGAACTTCATCAGAGCCAGCATTCTGAGTCTAAGTCAGAAGCCCTGAGATAAAAATTAGACTCAAAAGGCCTGTAGCATCATTTCCAACACATTCTCTTGGTCAAAAGCAATCGCAGGACTGTTCAAGATCCAAGGGAAGGGACCAGGCRTRGTGGTCCATGCCTGTAATCCCAGCATTTCCAGAGGCTAAGGCAAGAGGATCATGAGTTCAAAGCCAGTCTTAGAAACTTAGCAAGACCCGAAGCAACTCAGTGAGACCCTGTCTCTAAAAAAAAAAAAATAAATAAATAAAAATACAAAAAAAGAGTAGGGAGCTGGCTCTGTGGTTAAGTGCCCCTGGGCTCAATCCTAATACCAAATTCTACTACTACTACTACTACTACTACTACTACTACTACTACTGATAATAATAGTCCAAGGGAAGGGAACTGGACAAAGTAGTGATCTTTAGGAGGTGAGGCTGAGGGGTAGAGCAGTTTGTAAAGCAACTACCATACTGCTATAGGCCAAATATAAATTTGAATATGAAGAATTGATTGTACTGGTCCTTTGCCTAAAATCAAGTAGGTCTGAGTATGTATTTAACCACTACCCAAATCTAGCCATGATCACCATCCCAGCTGTGACTCACACATTTGTGTCAAGCCTATAAATATGGCTCATTTCTTTTTGTTTATAGACTCTTGGTTCAAATGCTTCTTCCTTATCAAAGCCTTTTTGTAGCAAAAGGGAAAAGAATAGGGGAGTGAAATATACATTTTTAAATCACAGTGATTTGAAGGTTCTCTAAAAGTAATAGGGATAAATATAGTTCAGAATGTGTGTACAATGAAACTAAGTTTAAATAGAAACGGTATAAGTTCAGAACTTAGTTGGCACTGTGTAAATGATGATCTAAACCATGATGATCATTCTTTTCCTGGTTCCCGGTAGGTAGCTGTGCCCTGTATAGATGGTAAAGTGATTGCTACCCCATTGGATCCCTTTATCACAGCATAASTGACAGCTCACCTCACTAAGAAGTTCTATCAATAACAAAACTAAGCATATTCCATTGCAAACGGATTAATGTATTAAAAAAACAGACCTCTGTATTTGGAAGGATATTTTAGGACATTAATATTTTATTTTACAAATCCTTTTTTTAATTTTAAAAATTATATTTCAATACCTGATTCTAAATTGTTTTGAATATCCCTTGAAAAACTAACATGTATATGTATACAGAACTTCCAGGATTTCCCTAGAATGCAAAACAGAGCCAAGAACAGTAGTTTGGAGGTAAAAACTTCTCCCAAATGAAATAAATGAGAAGAAAATCTCCAAAAGCTTTAAGAGACTATTTCCTTCGAGACAGTTTCCATTTTCTTTGAATAGCATTTATTGTTTGTGAATCAGCTATCTATTGCTACAGACTAAGCCACCCCTAAATTTAGTTGCTTGCAAATATATGAGTTTTATCTCTCTCACAATTTTGAGGATTAGTTGGGTATTTCTTCTCTAGTTTTGTCTGGATTCACTCACAAGGTTACATTCAGCTGTAACAATGGTTGAAATTTTTTCTGTAAAGAACCAGGGAGTAAATATTTTAGACTTAGCCTCTGCTCTAGTTTGGATCTGGAATGTCCCCAAAGGCCTGTGTGTCAGAGGCTTGATCCCCAACCTATATCACTATTGGGAGGTGATGGAACCTGTGAGTGGTATGGCCTAGTGAAAAAGTGAATGTTGTACATCATTGGGGG